GTTGAGGGCAGTCCTTTTTGTAGTTTTGGGATTTAATTAAGGGGGGAGCTGTGGTTCAAAATCTCTCTGCAGATCCCGGTATCCACCAACAGGTGTATTGGTAGTCTGAAACTCTCCTCCCACTGCCTTGGAGTCTTTCTCTGCAGTGGAGTTGTAGGTTTACTCCCTGAAAGCAAAATGAGGTTGTCAGAGGGAAGAGAATGGAGCAGGCAGTAGGGGGAGGAAGGGGGTGAAGAGAGAGAGGAGTGAGATGGAAAACCAATGAGTGTACTGACTGGTAAGTGAAAAGAGACACAAAAACTGAAACAAATATAAAGAAAAACAATAACCACGACTGAAAACTAACCAACAATCATATAAAAAGCTAAAACATACAATGGTGCTAACATACACGCCGACCAACCTTATTGGTGTGCTATTCCTTTATACAAAGATGGGGTTACAGAGAAATAAGAAAAAAGGGGGAAAAGGGACAGATTAAAGTCAGTAGACTAACAGAAGCAACCAAGTCCACTCTGAGACTTTTCCTTGAAGTTCAATGTCCTTTCAGCTCTGATTTCTAACTTTCTTTGCAGGCTGGTAGAATTTCTCACAATTAGAGTCAGTTGCCCCTAGAGTCAGGCCTACTGTGAAGAATAGTTCAGATATGGGCCCCCTGTCCAGTCTATTACTGAGATCTGTTTTTTTCTATTTGAGCCTCTGCCATTCCCATTTTGATGTTGTTACCTTGGACCCCCAGCAGGTGGTGCTATATCAAGGCTGTAGTCCAGAAGGGAGTGAGCTGGTTACGGATATGTTACTCGCCACGGCAATTTCTCCATACACGGGGGGAGTTCCACAGGCCTGTATCTGGGCTAGGGTCGTGGTGTGGCAGTGGCCGCAGCAGCCAGGCAGTGGCGATTTTAGTAGATCCTGCTTGTGGAGGCTTCATGGTCTGAAGTTGTGGGTCGCTTCAGGCATAAGCTGGGAATGACCGCAGTGGCGGCATCTGCGACTACAGGAGCAGCCCAGACCGCCGTGATATCTGAAAAGTGATGGTGGGTGACAGTGGCGGCTGAACTCCCTGTGAAGAGCAGGCTGCAGAAGATGGGAGCTGCAGCCCTTGGGAGAGAGCTAGGGTCATTATGAGTGTTCTCTTTGTCAGAGGGTCTCACAGACCATGCTGCCACGTCACCATCTTGCCAGAAGTCCCAACTCCATTTCATTAAAGCCAGTTTCTGGAAATTTATCTTGTACCTTTGTATGGAACATACTTTTCTGCTTCCTTATTTCCCTTGGATCTTTGTGTTGGTGTTTATGCATTGTACAAACAGTCACCTCTCCAGTCTTCATAGAGTGCATTTATACAAAACAGATAAGAACCTCACTGATCAGCCCAGTGAGAAATTCCTGGACCCTCTTCAACATTCATACTAGTCCAACGTGTGTTGTTTGTTCTAACAGCCACCAGGCATCTAGACTATGTTGAGTCCCATCAACATGTCAAAACAAATGAGACTAAAGCTAGTTCCTCAAGCAATTATCCCCTGTCCCAATTTGGATTATTGGATACTCTTCCCAAATCTCTCATCAGACAGAAGCTGGAATCTGGGAAGTTTTACTTATTTGTTCTTTGCTAAGTCAGGGAGAAGGTCTGTGACAACTACTTGTGTGCTAGATCAAATCATTGTCTCTGTTATCACTGACCCCCAGGTGTCTAGATTATGTCAGGTCCTATTAGTGCTCTCAAACATGTTACACAGAAGGTAGTCCTCTGCGTAGCCCCAAGAAAAGTTGAGGTCTACATCTTTTCCTCCCCCAGGAAGAATCAGAGATAAAGGGTTTTTTTCTGCTTGCTCTGAGCTGAACCAGGGAGAGAGGCAATGGGACTATGGTGATTGACAGCCCAAATTGTCATCTCTGTTCTCATTGGCCCCAGGAAGCTAGATGACGCCAGGTCCTGTCAGTGCTATAAGATGGAACACACAGAAGCCAGTTCTCTGGATAGATCTTGGAGAAGTGGAGGTATTAGATGTGTAGGCCACCTCTTTCCTTTCCCAGAGAGACGTTGAGAGCTAAGGAGGTTTTCTCCCAATCATCTGGCACTGTGTCATAGGTAGCTATTATAGAGAGAAGGTGTTTTAAATTTTCCTACTGGCTTTGATGTGAGTGGTTTTATGCTCATTTGGAATTTGGGAGTCTCTCAACTAGTCTCTGCATGTCTCACAAAGGTAAATTGTTCATGAATGACTATTGAATGTCTATGCTTGTGAAGAGAAGGAGCCAGTGCTTCCTATTCTGCCATCTTTCTGATATCACTTAAGAACACATCTTTGGAAAAAAATTTTTAAAGAATAGACCAAATAAAGAAGTAAATAAAATATTGAACAACAAAGTGAAGGAAATGTCCCCTTTAAAAGCAGTCAAAACTCTTGCAAAAAGAAATAGACAATTTGAATAAGCCTATGTCTACTAAAGAAATTGAATCTGTAATTAATAATCTTCCAGCACAGAAAACACCAGGCCCAGATGAATTCTACCAAGCATTTAAAGAAGAAATTATACCAATTCCTAGCAATCTCTTCCAAAATATAGAAGCAGAAAGACTGCTTCCTAACCCATTCTGGTCTAGGAGATAAGCATTACCCTATAAACAAAACCAGACAAAGACATTACAAGAAAAAGAAGCTACAGACAAATCGTTCTTATGAACATAGATGCAAAAATCTTCAACAAAATATACTCAATTTTAGGCTTCCGCTGCTGCCGCCACCTCCATAACAGCCATTGCACATCACACCGCCCATGCCTGAGGCGATCCATGCCTTCATACATTGAAGCCACTACAAGTAAGATCTGCTAAGATCACTGCCGCCAATACTGCCACTGTGACATCCTGCCTGGCCATGGGTCTCCTCCTGTGTGCCTTGAGGCAGCGGCTCTCATTACCGGCTCCTGTCTGGCTCCCTCTCCTCTGGGGTGAGCAGCTGAGATAAAGACCATCTGGAGCAGTGAGATAGCTCCACATGCTGGCACTTCAAGGTAACAACACCGAAATGGGAAAAACAGAAGCTTTTCCCAGATCTGAGTGGTGAAGTGGGCAGTGGTGAACTGAGTGGTTATCTGAACTGCCCTTCATAGCAGGCCAGGGGCAACTGACCCTAACTGTAAACAAATTTACCAGCCTAAAAAGACAGCTAGAAATCAGAGCTGAATGGACACTGGAATTAAACAAAAAGTCTCAGAGTGAGCTTGATTGGTTCTGTTAGTTTACTGACTTGATTCTATTACTTTTGTTTTGTTCCTTTTTTTTCTTTCTTTTCTTCTTTTCTTTTCTTCTCTCTGTAAACCATATCTTTGCATAGAGGATTCACACACCAATAAGGAGATTGGTTAGCTTGTAGGTTAGCATCATTATATGTTTTAGGTTTTTTTGGTATGGGAGTTTGTTAGTTTGTAGCAGTGGTCTATTGTTTTATCTGTTTCAGTTTTGTTTCTCTCTCCATTTGTTGGTACACTCATCTGTTTTCCCCCTTACTCCTCTCTCTACCCACCCCCCTCTCCCCCCCATCTACTCCATTCACTTCCATCTGTTAACCTCATTTTATTTCAGGGAGTAAACCTACAACCCCACTGCACAGACAGATACCAAGGCAGAGGGAAGTGAGTTTCAAGTTATCCATATACCTGTCAGCAGATACCAGGACCTGCAAATAGATTTTGAATCACAGCTTCCCCCTGAAGTAAATCTCAAAACTGCAAAAATGACCACCCCCAACCTACAGTGCAACACCAGAATTGAACAAAGTCAGAGGATATACATAACAAAGAATAGGAGACTGAACAAACAGAAGTAAAAGCAACTCCTCCACCCCTGAATACAGAATTAAAGAAGATGGTGACATGGAGGGAAGGAAAAAGTAGGGGGGAATAAACTACACAAATGAAGAAAAAACCAAAAGAAGAATACAGGTCTCACACAGACTCCTGGGAGGTCAGACACTGAGAAAACAGACTGCGGAACACAAACAATGAACAGCCCCCAGAATGACTGGTCATATGCAACAAACCCAGACATCAAGACATTAATAGAGAGAATTTTAAAAATTGAAGAGTGACAAAAGGAAAATAGGAAGGAGCTGATGACAGAAATAACAGCAGTAAAGAATATTGTGATGGAAATAAATAACTAATAAGCATGGAAAGCAGAATTAGCCAAGCAGAAGAAAGAATCTCAGAGCTCAAAGACCAAAACACAGAACTAACCCAAATGCAAAAATATAGAAAAGAAGCTTAAAAATTCAGAACAAAACCTTCAAGAGATGCATAATCACTTCAAGAGAAAAAACGCTGAGAGTAATTGGCCTTCCTGAGGCAGAGAGAGAAACAGAGGTCACATTGGAACAAACACTTCATGAAATCATTCGAGAAAACGTCCCTCATCTCATCAGTGATGCAAAAATTCAAGCACAGGAGATTCAGAAAACCCCTGCAAGACAATAAATGAGAAGACCAATCCCAGACACATAATAATTCGCCTAAACAAAGTAGGTAGAAAAGAAAAAATCCTAAAGGCAGCAAGAGAAAAAGGCCAGACTACCTACCGGGGAAGACCAATTAGAATATCAGCAGATTTATCTACAGAAACCCCTCAGACTAGGAGAGCTTGGAGCCCTGTCTTCAAAGTTCTAAAAGATAAATAATTTCAACTGAGAATAACCTACCCAGCCAAGCTAAACTTCATCAGTGGAGAATTGAAATGTTTTCCAGACATCCAATCCCTAAGAACCTTCGCTGCCACCAGACCACCTCTACAAGAAACACTTAAGAAAGTATTGAACACAGAAGAAAAAGAAAAAAGAACAAAAATGTTCTTCACAAGAGTACAGGCATAAGTTTAAAACAACATGAACCGACTCTAAAACCAAAAGAAACACAACACACAAACAAGAAGAACAACAACAACTCTGTAAGAACATTATGATAGGGATCAACTCTCACATTTCAATAATTGGCTTGAATGTGAATGGATTAAATGGACCACTGAAAAGACATAGAATGACAAAATGGATAAAATATCACCAGGCAAAAATTTATTGCCTTCAAGAGTCTCACCTCACTAGACAGGACACTCACAGACTCAAAGTAAGAGGACAGGAAACAAATTTTCAGGCGAATGGTACACAAAGGAAAGGAGGAATTGCGATCTTAATCTCAGACAAAATACCCTTTAAGCTATCAAAAATTTAAAAAGATACAGAAGGCCACTACATAATGGTAAAAAGTTCAATCCATCAACAAGAAATATCCATCTTAAACATATATGCACCTAACATATAAGTGCCAACTTTCATAAAGCAGCTTCTAGGTAAACTTTAAAAAGATATCGGCTCCAACACCATCATAGCAGGGGACTTCAATACTCCACTCACAACTCTAGACAGATCATCAGGACAAAAAATCAGCAATGAGATCCGAAACGTCAGTATGATCCTTGACCAAATGGACTTAATGGATACCTACAGAACACTCCATGAAAAGACCACAGAATATACATTCTACTCATCACCACATGGAATGTACTCTAAGGTTGACCACATGTTTGGCCATAAATCAAGCATAAGCAAATTTAAAAGGACCGAAATTTTACCATGCACTTTCTCAGACCACAGTGGAATAAAAATAAACATTAACACCAACAAGGTCCCCCCAAAATGCACAAAGACATGAACACTAAACAGCATGATGCTAAACAACTCCTGGGTCAGCAATTAAATCAAAACAGAGATTAAAAGATACCTGGAAACAAATGAAAATGAAGAAACATCTTACCAAAATCTCTGAGATGCCAAGAAAGCTGTAGTAAGAGGGGAATTTATATCTTACAAATGCACATGAAGAAAATGGAAAGATCACTAATTAACAGCCTAACAAGCCACCTAAATAAGCTAGAAAAGCAAGACCACAAACACCTTAATTTCAGCCGAAGAATCCAGATCACCACAATAAATCCAGCACATACAAGAAAATCCAGCCCAAATCCAGCACATACAAGAAAAAAGGATAACACAAAAAAATCAATGAAACAAAAAGCTGGTTCTTCAAAAGGATAAACAAGATCGATGGTCCTCTAGCTAGACTGACCAAGAAAAAGAGAGAAAAAACTCAAATAAACACAATCAGAAACACAAAAGATGAAGACACATCTGACGCTGAAGAAATACAAAAGATCATTAGAGACTACTATGTACACTTGTACGGAAACAAACTTGAAAACCTTCTGGAAATGGAGAACTTTCCATCATCACACAACCTGCCTAGGTTGAAGCAAGCAGAAATTGAGACCCTAAACAGACCAATAACAATCAAGGAAATTGATTACATAATAAGAAAACTACCTACAAAAAAAAGCCCTGGACCAGATGGCTTTCCAGCAGAATTCTATAAGTCATTTAAGGAGGAGCTGATACCAATCCTACTGAACGTATTCCAGGTGATTGAGGAAGATGGAACTCTCCTCAAATCATTTTACGAAGCTAACATCACATTGAAACCCAAGCCAGGTAAAGACCCAACAAAGAAAGAGAACTACAAGCCAATATCTTTGATGAACATAGATGCGAAAATTCTCAACAAGATCCTAGCAAACCAGATCTCAAAACAACAACACATCTCAAAAATCATCCATCATGACCAAGTAGGCTTCATGCCTGGGATGCAAGGCTAGTTCAACATTCGGAAAACCATAAATGTATAAATACATCAACAGATGTCAAAACAAAAACCACATGATTATATCATTAAATGCAGAAAAGGCTTTTGACAAAATCCAGCACCCCTTCTTGATAAAAAACCTTGAAAATCTAGGCATACAGGGAACATACCTCAAAATACTAAAATCCATCTATGAGAAACCCACACCCAGCACACTCCTAAATGGACAAAAACTGGAAACATTTCCCCTGAAAACTAGAACAAGACAAGGATGCCCACTCTCACCCCTCCTGTTCAATATAGTATTGGAAGTCCTGGCTAGAGCAATCAGAGGAAAGAAGGCAATCAAGAGTATCCAAATAGGAAAAGAGAAAGTCAAGTTATCTCTCTTTGCAGATGACATGATTGTGTACCTTGAAAACCCAAGAGAATCTGTCAAAAACCACCTTACACTGATAAAGGGCTTTGGCAAAGTCTCAGGATATGAAATAAATGTGCAGAAGACAATTGCAATTCTTACACCAACGATAAACAAACAGAAACCCAAATAAAAAGCACAATTCCATTGACAATAGCCACAAAAAAATGAAATACCTTCACATCTTCCTAACCAGAGACATGAAAGACCTTTACAATGAAAACTACAAAACACTGCTGAAAGAAATCAAAGATGACACAAACAAGTGGAAAAAATCCAATACTCATGGATTGGAGGAATAAATATTGTAAAGATGTCCATCCTACTTAAGGCAATCTACAGATTTAATGCAATTCCCATCAAATTACCAGCAACATTCTTCTCAGACCTAGAAAAAACAATACAGGAGTTCATATGGAAACACAAATGACCAAGAATAGCCAGAACAATCCTCAGGAAAAAAACAGAGCAGGTGGTATCACATTACCAGATGTCAAACTTTACTTAAAGCTACAATAATCAAAACAGCTTGGTATTGGTACAGAAACAGGCATATAGACCAATGGAATAGAATTGAAATTCCAGAAGCAAACCTCAATTTCTCAACCAACTCATCTTCGACAAAACCTCCACTACCTACCACTGGGGATAGGAGAACCTATTCAATAAATGGTG